ATATATATAAACCCAATAAAGTGATTTCAAGATTAATTAAAAACCAAATCCATGAAGTCATTAAATATAATTGTCAAAGCTATACACCACCTCATCTCAAAAATGATATTCCTTGTTTAATTTTATCTGTAAATGAGTTTTGAATCTGATATGAATAGGTTATATATGACTCCACTTGTGTATAAATAAGATTACATTATGTAAAACCATGAAACTATTTAAAAGGCTTTTAAAAGCATAGATTCCCATCCTTAACATAATATTCTACAAATGAGTATCATGGAATAAACCATTATTTTATGCTGTGTAAATAAAAACAGTTAAACACTTAAGTAAATCTCACTGACCTGATGTTATCTTATCCATTACGACACATAAAATCATTGATAGTCACCTAAATCAATTTCCCTTCTAGTAAAGATAGACTAATTCAATTTAACCAACTTTATTACAGTTTCCTTTTAAAGGTGGTCACTGCCATATCAATTCCCAGATTAAAGGCTCATTCCAAGAGTTCATTCCTCTTGACTTCTTTTTCAAGTATCTTGTGTTTTTAGACAGATCAACCTTTGTGGGGCTTTACTTCCTTTTATGTTAAGGGCATTACATTCTCCCTACCCTCATACCCCTTCTCTGACTAGCCTTTCTCCAGCTCATTCATTCTTTCCTCATTTCCATCCCTCTCACTGATGGAGCTTTCCTCAGAGTCTCCTTCTGCCTCCTTGTCTTAATTCACTAGTTTTTAAATCTTCTTAGCTTTACAGATAACTCATGAGCCTCTCTTTGGCCTACTATTTACAAATACCAAATTGGCACTGTTACACATTACAGGGACTTACACAGTTTGGGGGGTTATTATTTTTTTATTTCAAATTATTATGAGGATAAAAGTTTTTAGGTTACAACATTCCCATTTCCAAAGTAAAGTTCAAGTTGTAGAGGAGCCCTTCCCTCAAGGGATATGCTGAATACTCTCGCATTGTGCATAGTTTTAAAAGCAGCTATGATTTCCCTTTACCCAATTTCAAAAGGATACAAATAGTTCCAAGCTTTATGGAGAGGAGGCAAAGTGGAATCCACTTACACTATTTATTGCCAAATCTAGAACTAGGTAGAACGCTTCTCATTAAAGTTTAAAGAAATAGAAAAAAATCATTAAAAAATATTTTAATATAAGCAAGTGTACCCTTCCGACCGTCGTGTGCTTGATGACCTGCACAGTCTGCTCCCAGACGTCCTTTCATGGAACTGTTCTCTTGCCTCTACTCTCACTGTAGTAACACAGCTGCGATTCTCAATCAGTCCCTCAGACTATTTTCTCTCTCCCTATCCAAGACTTCTGGGCACTGCTACAGAAAATTCACATTTTTTT